GAAGGGACCCCTGGCAGGTCACCTGGGTCTCCCCATCCCGGAAAGGACCCCTGACAGGTCACCTGGGTGTCCCCATCCCGGAAGGGACCCCTGACAGGTCACCTGGGTCTCCCCATCCCGGGGCCCCGTAGGGTGATGGCGCAGGACGCTGCACCCTGCACCTCCTGCCTCCCTACCTGGCAGTAGAGCCGGTAGAGGGGCACGGCGGCGTAGGAGGCCCCCAGCATGCCCACGGCGGCCGCGGCCACGTAGGTGAGCACCGTCTTGTTCCGCCGCCGCCACTCGTCCTCCTGCGCGCGCTGGAAAGGGTTGCCGCTCCTCGGCCGCCGGGGCGGCTGCTGCACGGCGGCTCCCCGGGCCCCGCTCAGGCGCTGCCAGGTCCCGAGCCGCCTCAGTCCCCGCTCCGCACCTCCATCCCAGCCGGGCCTAAGCACCTGCCCCGCACTCTCCACAGCCCGGCCCCACCACCCAGGCTGGCTCCAGCACCGGCCCCACCAGGCGACGAACCTCCATCGCGGACACCAGAGCCCTCCCATAACCCCCCGGAAAGAACGCCGGCCTGTCAGGGCCGCTAAGCGAGATCTCGCGAGACCTCCCGTGTCTCGCGGTAAGCGGGTCCGAGCCCCGCCGCTGCCTTGACTACCAGATTCCTCAGGTAGCAGCGGGGCTACGGAGGCCGGGTGGCCAAGAAGAGGGTAAGTTCGCGTTTTCTGCTAGGCGGCTGTGCCTTGCACTTTGTTTCCCCCTGCTACTTCTCGAGTTTACTTCGTGGAGAATGCATGTGGGCCCTCCGCATGCAAGCTCCTCGCTGGGGATTGCACTGTAACACGTACACCCGTCTTCCCAAACTCCACCAAGCCTTTGTCTCTACCCAGCGGCCCCCAGCGGCAGCTCTCTCGCCGGGCTTCCACTTGGGAGTTCACTAGCCCGGTGGCTCACTGCCTCTGACCTGAGCTCGGGCAAACGTCCCTCTTTCTGGAACAAACCGCAAACCGCATCCTTCTCCAACACTCTCAACCTCTGCATCTTCTCAGCCCGTGGGCAGACGTCTTCCACCGCGCTGACACCCCTTTGCTTTTTCACCCAGCAAAAACGTCAAGTCAGACAGAGAGCCTCTCGCAAACTGGCGTTTGTTCAGAACAGAAGGACCAAGCTATGGGGGCCTTTAAAGGAGGGGGTGAAGGAATAAGGGTGTGCACCATGCAGGCAGAGACTCCCCGGGAAATATGTAATAGCGTCCTTCGGTTCTCTAATCGGACAAACACAGACCACTATTAAGTAGCAGCTAAGAGCAGATTCTGACGTTAAGCATTGATGAATTTACTGTGCTCTTGTCCTTACATCTGTTTTATTTTATTACAACTTCTGCGTAACCTGCTGGCCTTATTTCGTGAATGGAAATCACAGTAGTTCGTGAGGATAAGCATATAAAGTGATTTTCCCACTGTTTCAGGCATAGTAAGAATTTTGTAAAAGCTAGGTCTGATTTCTAATGGCTAGAGTGGGTCTAATCATCCCCGCTTTGTGGATTAGAAACCCGAAGGCCTAATGAACTGTAAGTCAGTCAGCATGTATTCCTTACACTTTTCATTTGGCTGAGGCATCATCCAGAATAAATCAGGCGCAATCACTGTTGTTATTGATTGCACTGTCTATTGAAGGACTCAGAAAAGAAACCTGTAAATAAGGGAATTTCAGATAACAGTGTCTGTTCTCAAAATAGTTGGTGTCATGAAGTTATTGAGAGTGACAATGAGGAGGGATACCCCGGTTATGTCTCTCTGTAAGAGGTAAAATAAGGCCTTCCTAGAGGTGACATTTGAGCCTACTCCTGAACCCTGAAAAAGAGCTACACACAAAACAACAGTCTCAGGTCATACACAAGTCCAGAGGCAGGAGTGGGTTGGATAGGATTAAATAACCCAAAAGAAAACCAAAACAAAACAAAACAAAAAACCCGGGTCAGTGTGAACCTTGCATAATGAGATGAGTTGGTGGTGGGAAGGAAATGGGGTCATAGCAGGTACACAAAGACCTGATAACGCCATTTAAACCATGTCTAAGGGAAGCTTAGTTGTGAGGAACACAGGAGTGACTTGATCTGATTTTATTCACACTGAAGGAAGAGGAAGATGCTAGTCACATGGTGAGACTGCACGGGGCAAGGGTGGAAGCGGAGATGAGGAGGCAGCTGTAGCTCCTCCAATTTTTACTTTGAAATAATTTTACATGTTACATAAGTGTTGCAGAAATAATAAATTTCCTACTTATCCTTCACCTGGTTTCCCTAATCTTAAAGATCTTTATACCATTTGAGAATAGAGCAGACATGATATTCTAGAACTGTAAACAATACTTAACAGGAGTATTGATTACAAAATCAGTTATTTAGTATCAATCCAATATTACTATGTTATCACCTTGGGCCACCATAACAAAACACTTCAGCCTAGGTTACTCAACGAGTAGATTATGTTTCTGGAGGCTGGGAACCAAGATCAAGGTGCTGGCTACTCCATTTTCTCATGAGGGTACTCCCCCAGTAGTAGTGGACATGTGTATTAGCATGCCTGGGAGAAGTCGGCAAGTTTTGTGATGCCTTTCTTATGGGCACACTAACTGCATCTGATTCATCATGTGTTCTCCGTTATGATCACATTTAACCTTGCTAACTCTTATCCCAATAGAGCTGCAATGGGACTCGGGCTTCAACATGAGGATTTGAAGGAACATGGACCTGTAGAACTTCACACCAATAAATCCATGGATTCTGCTCAAGTTAATACCACTTATGGTAGTTTGAATATAATTGGCCCCCCATGAGCTCTTAGGGAGTGGCACTATTAGGAGGTTGGGCCTCGTTGGAGGAAGTGTGTCGCTGTGGAGGCAGGCTTTGAGGTCTCCTGTGTTCAAGTTAGGCCTAGTTTAGCTCATTTCCCATTGCCTGTGTGATCAAGATGTAGCTCCTTCTCTAGCACCATATCTACCTGCATGCCACCATGTCCTGCCATGATGATAATCAACTAAACTTCTGAAACTATAAGCCACTCAAATGGTTTTTCTTTATAAGACTTTATAAGACTTGCCTTGGTCATGGTGTCTCTTCACAGCAACAGAAACCCTAAAACACCACTTGTCCCACTTATCCAGCTTAGGTCTATAATCCACTCCAAGATGGCCCCTTGTTTTTAGGTGTCCAGCCTCTTTAGTTTTCACCAGTCTGAAATAGTTCATTAGCCTTTCCACATGGCCTTGATAATTTTTTTTATAGTGGTGGCTGGGTAATTGCTATAGTGTCCCTCGGTATGCGTTTTTCTGATTTGTGTGTGTGATGCTTTTCATGGTTTATGAGACTCTGAGGGAAACATAACAGAAGTGAGGTGCTTGTCTCATTGAATTCCTTTAGAAGTCACAAAGTGTCAACTTGCTTCATGACTGTGAGGTTTTTATCTCTTTACTAAGATGTAATGTCTCCGTTAGGGTTTCTGTTGCCATGACAAAACACCATGACCAAACAGCAAGTTGGGGAGGAAAGGGTTCATCATTGACAGGACAGGAACTCAAACAGGGCAGGATCCCAGAGGCAGGAGCTGGTGCAGAGGCCATGGAAGGGAGCTGCTTATATAGCTTGCTTCCTCTGGGTTGCTCAGCCTGCTTTCTTAGAGAACCCAGGACCACCAGCCCAGGAATGGCACCAGCCAACAATGGGCTGGGCCCTCATTGATCACTAATTGAGAAAATGCCCTACAGCTGGATCTCATGGAGGCATTTCCTCAGCTGAGGCTCTTTCCTCTCTGATAACTACCTTGTGTCAAGTTGACACACAAAACCAGCCAGTAAATATATCTTCAAGGATTGGTTTGTTTTATTTTTGTTTTGAGACAGTCTCCCAAAGAATCCCAGGCTGATCTCAAACTAACGGTCCTTCTGTATCAGCCTTCAGCACTCCAATTACAGACATATACCACCGTACCTGGTGGGGAGCAGCTGTTGGGATTATCTGCAAGGCAGAGGGTTACTCCTTTGCATCTTTTTGATTCTGTGTAATAATCAGTACAGACCCGTGAATTCCTATTCTAAGGGTAGATTTTCTTGTTGTCATGCTCCTCTTCCATTTTCCTGCTCTAACCTGGGCACCAGCCATTACTGCAGGCTTCCTTTAGTGAAGAGTGATATTTAGAAATAAAACCTGGAATCCAGAAGTAGTCATTATATCTAGACTTTCTCAACACAGAACCAGGTAATTTGGATGTATAGAGTTACCTTTGTGTATATGTGCCCAACATGAGAAATAAGTCTACTGTTATTTTTAATACATATAACTTCCTGTTTGTTCCTCTAGTAGATGAGCAAATCACCATAGCTGAGAACTCAGCCACAGACATGTTAGCTCACTTCTGTCTGCTGTGTCAACCCAAAGAATGTGCTCCATTTGGGGCACCATCTGAAAGCTCAGCAGGACAAAAGCAAAGAGAGCAGAACCAATAGAAATGTAACTGTAGTTAGCGCCAGGCAGTGTTGAAGACCCTGAGGAAGGAAGGAAAGCCACAAAGGAGAGGCTTGGTTCTGGGAACATAGTCCCTTCCCCCACCCTCTCTCAAGCTCACCCACAGTTGAGGCCAGTCTTCCCATTCTATAGCTGAAGAACAAACAGACTGAAAGTGTTGAAGTAACTTGTACAAGCAAAGTCAGAGGGGTAGAGTCAGAGCTGGAGCTTACACTTAAAATGTTTGTGACTCTTTGATTCTTGGTATTTTTCCCTGCTCTGTATAAAAAGCAGTTTTGAAATGGACAATGGTAACAACAAAACAGCAATTTCCTTTTCAATATCAGGATAATTGTCTCCTGCCTTGATTAAAATCATTAATGTGCTAAGTTGTCTGTTTATAAGGTAGCACATTTTAAAATGATTTCTGAACTAGAACAAACTGGAATTAAACAGAAGATTGAAGTCAGAAAACAGTGTGGAGGCCTGAGCTCAAGGATCTTATAATACGAGATTGATGATATATACAGCTAGAAGAATAATGCTGTATTAAGAAATGCTGAAATGTATTTGTTTTTCTCTAAAACTTTGAATGAATGCTTAACCCTAGGCTATAATTTGGTGAGTCTGAGTGTGTTTGTGATGTTGCATAAATCACCGTGGTAACTAATGCTGGGTAGTGTTCCACCATGGATGGAATGTGAACTCCTCGGGGCTACTCTAACCCTGTTCTCCAGCTAGAAGTACGATTACACATTTAAAATGTAAAGCTTGGACTGGCCCTAAAGACTTGACACTTAATGTCCAATGTCATTTTTCAGCAGAAAATAATTCAACCTTGTAAGCTCCTTCTAATTAGTGATGGCATGTCTAGTTTTACATTTATAAGGTAAAATAGTCATATAAACCTTTTGATAGTCACATATTATTGTCTAACCTGGTTGTTGTTTTTCCGAAAACTTAGAGATGATGAAGTTGGAGTTTTAAAGTTTGGTTGACAGTTACATTTTATATGTAATTGAAATTTTTTTTTGGTAATTAGTAAATTTG